AACCTGTCTTTAAGTCAGTAAGATGCAATTTTGTAGAAATCAAACCTTACATTCTGCAGAAACTGATGGCCCTTTTCTGTCATGTGTGCTTTCCTGTAAGAATTGATGAGTCAGTGTCCTAAAACGTGATTAAATCTCTGCTTCAGCAAAGCATTTTGCCATTTGAATATGAGTGACTCCACTGAGGAGGGCTTAAGTGATACTATTTGTATGCTTAAGGCTTTTGAAGTGGCAAATAATTCACATATATGTAGTTCTGTATAGTGCTTAAGCAACACTTATTTTCCTGGAGATAACTATTCTTGTAGTTAATAGGACATTCAAACAGTGAAAACAAATGTGGTTGTTTTCTCTTAAAAGTCACCTTTTATTACTCCAAACACACTTGTATAATATGTTTCTTTTTCAAATAAATTTGGTATATTTACAGGATCCTTGATATAAGTGACTTAAAACCAAGTTAGCTAGTTCACATGCATTGTTGTCTAACATGATAAAACAGGAATTACATTGTTGATTATTGTTGGTTTTGAAGCCTTTACTAACAGTGAAAGAAAGTGGAAATTTATATTTTTGCATACATTTATTATTTTCCTACTTAGCAAAAGAGCATCTCATTGACACTTTTCTAGCAAGCTGAAAATAATGTAATGGTTTATGAGATAAACCAGCAACTTCAAGGAGATTATTCTACTATACCTCATGACAGTGTGTAAAGCACAAGTGTTCTAAGTTGCTGATGTTTTCACTGCCCAATTTTCCAGCTTAGGTCCAACATAAACTATTTTAATTAATATTGTGTCACCAAAAGGTTTTGAGATGGCCAATTGAATTCTGCCAAGATAGAGTCTTTTGATGAAAACGTATCTTTATTGATTGTAGAAGAAGAAAAGCATTCTTCAAATGAAATCCAGAGAAAAATCATATCCCTCAGAGAAAATTTCTGAGTGGCAGGCTGAGATTAACATCATAAAATTGAATTTGTGCTGCAAACCTTTGATGTAATCAGCAGCTGGGAGATGGTGTTGCCCTCACTGTGCTCCTTCTGATTGTGGTGAATTATTGTGTGGAATGAAATAAGTGTTTCTTGTGTCACTCGTTCAAGAAATACAAACAAGGTATTACTAGGTGGTTCTTGCTAGTTAAAATAGGTTGTATTGATTCCTGGTCCCAGTCTCTTGCTCCCTTGGACTGCAAAAGCAGTAGGTTCACGATCCAGGGAAGATCTGGGTGTCACTTAGCAGTGACTCCTACAGCTGATTAGGGTGTAGCACTGGCAGGTCTCGAGGGAAGTCCCGTTAGATCTTAGACTGGAAGTGCAGTGGCAGGCAGGAAGGTTCTCCAGGGTGGAGCTTTGAAAAGCAGGGTAGAGGAAAATGTGTGGAGTACTGAGGGTTCTGACAGAATATATTAAAACAGGAGGAAGTGGGCCACAGGGTAGAAGTGTTGATTACTGGAGGGTTTTACTTGTTGCCTGCTATCTGATTAGATACATTAACTAAAATATTTGAAGTATAGAAGTATTTTTGCTGCAGTACTCACAGAGAGCAGACTCTGCATCTTAAAGAAGCCTATTATTAGTTCTCTTGTATGATGTGCTAAATACGAGTTTTTAATTATTTTTTTAAAATCTCTTGATAAATCTTCCATTGTTCTTGCTGTTAATCCAGATGTCTTCTTCTTACTGTTGTCTTGTCTTGCTGTCTTTAGTGTCACTCCTTTGTCATTCACTTTCCATTTACTTAACCTCATATATCTTCTTTTTTCCTTTTCATACGCTGCACACCCTGCCTTCTCCCTAGTAGCCTCTATATTTCCATTCTATTTCTCTGTTAAGCATCTTTCTCAGCACTGTAGTGATCTCTTCTAATTTATTCTGTTGCTCACGCCTGCACAAATGCATATGTACCCCGCTGCTTCACAGATTGGACAGTATTGTTGATCTGTATTTTCAGATTCAGGGACGCAAGAGGCTTCTGAATAGCAGCTTACGTAAATAGCAAATCTGTGAGCAGCATCATGAGCATCGATGTGATATGTCTGCAGGCTTACAAAGACAGCATTATGTCACTTATTTATCTTTAGATTTTGTACTTTTATCAAGTATTTTGTAAATGCAGTATAATTTATTCTTTATGCCTCTTAGATGGACTTCCTGTGTATTGTGGACAGTGGATGAATATAATTTTTTAGTTTGGGAAAGGTTATATCTTTGATTACCAGAGATAATATACAACGTTCTTAACGAAAGAGCAACATTTATATCATAAAGTAAATTGAAAAAGTTGTGAAAGCAATACAGAATGGATTGGTCGACTGCAATTAGCTTTTTACTAACAGTGCAGAAAATAGTGATAAAACTTTTATTTCCTTGTATAGACAGTAAGAGAGAATGTTAGATAAAAGTCAAAGAATAGAGAGGAATAGGAGAATGAGGTAGGCTAGGAATGTGCAAACGTTGAGAATCTGTCATGAAAACCTACCAGACTGCCTAAAATTTGATTCCTGCCACTTTACTACAATGATAAATCTAAAAGATGTGTGGGGTGTGAGTAGGGAACTTGTATTATCTTACTTTACCATCAAGAATATTGAAGCCTGGGCAAACAGAATTTTGCTAGACTGAGAAGACATATACTGCTCTTATAAAATTGTCAATAATTATTTTTAATCATTTTGGCCCATCTGTCCTGTTGTTGGAGTTTTTTTTGTTTGGCTTTTTTCCACAAATATGTGTATTTTTAATCCAATACAAACAGTTAAATGCTTTTGACTAGACTTTTAAATACCTCATGGCTTCAGTAGAATGAAAGGTGGTGTAAAAGGCCAAAGTCCTTGAAGCTGTGTAAGTTGGGATAATTTTCCAAGTTGTCAGAGGTTTGTGGTGTGGTTTCAGTGTCAAAAGTGTTCAGAGAAATAGAGACAGGATGGTAGAGATGTGACAAGTTAGTGTGGGATGAACTGGAATGGTTTTAACTAAGAACAGGAAAATTCTTTTTTTTTTTTTTTTTTTCTACAGTCATAAGGGAGTTTTTTTGACAGTGTGATTGTTAAGGACAGGACAACCAAAGAAGTTAATTAGCTTGTAAGCAGGGAGAAATGGGGAGTAGGACTAAGGAACTCGATTTAAAGTTGAATTACGGGTTAATACTGTGAATCGGACATGCTTGAGTGGGCAGAGTTGGAGGAATTTGACGTGTGCTGATAAGCTACCAGCAGCTCAGATATGCCTTGGGCAATATTTGACTTTGTGGAAACAGTTTTTACCTCTTTTAAAGGAACAGTCTGATAAATATCTGTTGCTTTTATTAAAAAAAAGTTTAGGTGCCATCAGCATCACTAAATAGCTTTGATAAAGCTAAATATTGTCAGACAAAATGTGGCTGTGTGCCTCTGAGTATGCAGAATTTCTAGGGAAGTCATGGTATTCTTAGAAGCAAAGCTTTCATGCAAAATACTTACATTGTGCCTCAAAATGTCTTAATCCAAAAGAAAAGTTAGCTAAGAAGCAAGAGAAAAAAAGCTAAGGACTTATATTAACGTGGATGTTCGTATACCTTCTATTTTCCATTTCTCTTACACTTCACTAATACAAAGGAAAAAGTACCAAAATGTTCTAAATTTTAGTCTAAATTAGTTCATGTCTGTAACCAATGTTTTGTCCATAGCAGTAGCTGTTTATTAATTCATGACGCTCGGGGAGATCCAGAACAAGTATGTGCAAATAAATAATCTATATACTGGCAAATTCTTATCAATTTATTTCATTTTTAACTTCTGTTGATTGTCTTTCTGAGTTCTGCTACTTATCACTTGCTCAGCAGCAGACCTTCTGCTAAGAATATTGATCTTGATTCTGTGCTTCTTTTACAAGAAAATGTAATTTATTACTTCATATTCAATATAGTACAAACCTGAATTCTGCTGCCTTGCGGTGTTTTACACTAATTGGAACACTCCCGTGACACAGATATATATGACTACATGATAGGCAAGAAAATGCATTTTAAAGACTCAGGATGTGGCTTATCAAACTGTTAACTTGGCAAACGCTGTTTTGTAAACCCTGTGAAAATGGGGAATTTTCTTTACTTAGCCAATACCTAAAAATGTATCGTTAGAGTTTGGCTTTCATTTCAGGGGGTAAACCAGAAGAGAGAAGAACTTCAGTGTTCACGAGTAAGCATAATACAGTAGTATTCAGTAGTCATTTTGGACAATTCCATTCAATAAATTTTTTTTGCAGTAGTGACTAAAATCTATTATATGATAGATTTTTTGGAACAAGGGACTCAGTAGTTGAGCAGCAGAAAAAGTCTGCTCATTCTCCCTGTTTCCCAGCTTGCAACTCTGCCTCTGACTTTCTTTTGGGTCTTATCTCTAGCAGATGCCGCTGACTGGTTGAGGGTACAGTGCTTTGCTGTCCTGGGCCTCATTTTTCTCTTCATCCCTGACCCCACCGCCTGTTCTCTGCCTCAAGCCCTAGTATCTCTTTCTCTTGCCTTATCCTAAAACCACAGCCTCTTTATTGACACCTGGCTGCCGTGCCATCTCCATGCTCCACCAGTTAGCTCCTGTGAGTGAGCAGCACTGCTGGCTGGAGGGAGTAGGGGAAGCTTCACCAACCAAAATTAGGAAGAAGGTGGTGACCTGGGTCCATTGGAACTAATCCACATGACTCCTGCTGCTGCTCTTTCAGTATTGTGGTAGTACTGGTTTCTGGTAACTGTGGTCCTGTTTGATGCTGCATGGATTTAAAATAGTGACACATCACTGCCCTGCCGCATATTTAAGCTATTAACGGATAGCTAATAGTGGAAGTGTTAGTGTGATGTTGGCAACAGGTAGAAGATGTTTCAATGGCTCATCACCTTTTTCCAGCAGTATTTTGTAGTTCTTTTCAGATGTTGATTAAATTGCCTTTTTAAAAGTTGTTTTTTTTCTTACATTTCATATTACTTAGAGTCATCGTGCCTTATTTCTGTTTTCAGGTGCTGACTATGAAGGTATCAGTACAGGCTGTGGCAGTGTGGGGGAAAAAAGCTCCCTCTCACAGCATCACTGCTATTATGGTTACAGATGACCAGCAGACTATAGTTACAGGAAGTCAAGAAGGACAAATATGTCTCTGGGATCTTTCATCAGAATTAAAGGTTTGTGTCTGGTGTGCTACAGTCTGCCAAATAGACAAATTGGAGTTTTATCTTTTATTATTAACAATGGATTATCCAGACTTGCACTTACTTAGATAAAGTTTTAAAGATAGTGCGATATTTGTTATAGGAAGCTCATGAAGCAAAAAGTGTTGAAATGCCTATGTGAGCAACCAGTTATGTACAGACTTTGGAAAATTTTTCATAGATTATCATAACCTGTGGATTATAATTTGAGATTGTGTGCTGTGAGTAATGGCCACAAGTAAGCATACAAAATTATCATTATTCCTATCTTGTAAAGTCTTTTTTTTACTTTTTTCCTTTAAATCAATTGCTAAGCATGCCCTGTCATTTAAGGGAAAAAAAACCACAAAAAACAACAAAACAACTATTTATAAAACCAGAGCTCTGTACCAGGTTAGCAATGGAAAAATTTGTAGAAAGATGGAAGAAGTCAGATGAAATATATTTTTGGTGTAATTAAGCTGCAACCCTCCTGGTATAATATTGCTATTGCTTTGACTATTTCCTATTTACTTTTCTGAGAATGGAACAGAGTCAAAGCAGTTCCTTTTTCATTTTATTCCGTGTTCCTAGAACCATGGTTTTGATCTTTTTTGTATTTGGCTGCCCCATTTGTGCTCAAATATAGCTTGAAATTATGTTTGCACTATTATGGGGCTACCTTTTTTCATTAAGATCTTTGCATGCGGTGAAGTGATTTGTTTTCGTTTTCTTTTGAAGAAATCAAAGGGATTTCTTAAACATGTTGTATGAAACACATGCTTAAGAGCTTTGCTGTATCACTTCCCTACTTCACTCTGCCACTTTTGCTGCATGCTGTGTAGGGTGAAGGCCAGAGATATTCTGCCCATTGCCTGTTTTATAGCGTTTGATGCTCCATAAATTCTTCAGCAGGTGCAATTTTCAGACTACAGTGAATACAAAGACTGTACTTTTGCAAACTGCATAATCTGTCCACATCTTTCTACATTCCAGAAACATGACTGAAGAACATAAGACTATAAAGCAGATTGACATTTACTTATTAATAAAATCTATAAGTAGTGTTCTCTAGCTTTTAGATTTCCTTAGTTTATACAGAAAATATTATGTTTAAGTTAAACCATTGTATTATTCTCCTAGATTTCATCTAAAGAAATTCTCTTTGGCCATACTGCTTCTGTAACTTGTTTGGCAAAAGCAAGAGAGTTTGAGAAACAGCCGTTCGTAGTAAGTGCTACTGAAAATGGGTAGGTAACTGAATATTCAATTATTTGTTTCTTAAATAACAAAATGTATGTCAGGTCAGATCCTACATTTGGCAGAGGGTTTTTAATCCACTCCTTCCATGATATGAAGAGGACAGCAGCTACTTAGGATAATGACTATCGCTTATATACAACAGTCTAAGAGCTCATCTCTTGGACAACAGAAAGGTTTGGCAGATTCAAATATCCATAATGACTATCGCTTATATACAACAGTCTAACTAAGAGCTCATCTCTTGGACAACGGAAAGGTTTGGCAGATTCAAATATCTAGTTAGTAGTCAGGAGAATGAATTGTTCAGAGGGTCAGCTAGGCCCTGTTCAAAGGGAGAATAATGGGCTGTTGGAGGGAATCAGCAGGTTCAGAAGCATTTCAGTGTCATGGTGCTTTTTAATGTTCCTTCCTGAGCTCAGTCTTGAGAATTGAAACGGTACAAGAGGCTAATGTACTCTGATCCATGTTATGCTTGCTCAGTGAGTACATATGAAAGCACAGAAAAGGCTGCCCTTGGATAAAAGGCCTATGTGTTACTTGTCTTTATTTAAATCTGACTTGATATTTTGGAGCCCATCCTTTTAGAGGCTCCTATCTTGCAGCTTTTCTCCTATGTGTTTGTTGTGACTTCACCCATCACTGGAGTCAAACTGATTTCTGCAGTTCTACTAGGTTAGCATTCAATGATTTTTTTTTTTTGCTCTCTGAAGATATGATAATCTTTTCAGCTAGGGTCTGAAGCCCATGTATTCAGGATTTCAGCTGTTGAAAGTAGTTAAGCCTTCAAGGAAGTAAGAAGCTAGCCCTTCCTTTAGCAATTTTATCTTGCTGCTTAATGATATTCTCCTCTCATTTTGGGTTCATCTTTTCCAATTAACACGACAGCTCTGTTAAAACCTCTTCCCACGAAGAGTTCCTGTCAACTGGCTTTCTTCAAGCTATGTCTTCCAGCACCTTAAGGCTACTACTTTCTCACTGAGGAGCTTGTTTATCCTTTCCAGCTGCTAGGATCTCTGTCTGATTCTCTCAATAATGAGTATACAAGAAAGGGATAACTTCAACAAAGTGGTTCAGGCTTCTTAATCTTCAAAGGTTAGACTGCCCCACTGGACAGATAGTGGTAAACAGATCTGGTTGTTATGTGCAGAAAGGAGGGTGAGAAGTGTACAGAACTAGTTTTATATTGGCCTCCTACAATTCTACTCAAAGGTTCAAAAGTTAAACTGGTTTTTGTCTTAATTATGAAGTTCTGTTAGTGCAGTACTCTTTCCAGATCATACTGGGAGAAAAGATATTGTATTTCCAAAAAGCTGGGGTGAAGTGTTAAGAAACAAATGAGTTTTTTGCTTTAGATATACAGAGAGATGTTCACATCCTAAATGTTCTGCCTCCGAAGGGACCATCAGGCTTGCTTGGAATGTGTATAGGTAGGACTGAATGGTCTTTTGGCCCCTTTAAATGTTCACTTTTACCAAATTATTGCTGATTCCTTATCTGTGTTACATAAGGGAAAAGCATCCATGACTGATCCCTGAAAGGCTGAACGTGAAGTTGAGATAACTACAAATAGGAAGCCTCATCTTCAGGAGATGCAGGGTTTGTTGAACTGCATTTCTAGCTTGTGAATCATTCACTTCTGCCATTTCCAAGCTTCCATCTCCTTGTATTGAGAGTGGAGGGAATTTTATGGAAGATGATACTCTCCCCCCCATTCCACTTCAGAATCTCTTAAGCATTTGTATAACTGCCTTATACCAGAAGGATGAGTATATTGAACATTGTTTTGTACTTTTTATATGGAAGTCTATAAATTAATCCGTAATGATTCAGAAGTTCTCACTGATGTCTTGTGAATGTATATAGCATATGCTGTAGGACAGGTTTATTAACATGTGGTATTACTTGCTCCTTGTTAACACACACAGTAAAATTTAGTGCAACATAAAGAAACTGAAGTTATATTCTGGTCTCATTTGTGCATGTTTGCATGTATGTATCAACTTTACTGCTCTAGCTATGTTACTGTAATTGTCATTCTGATAAAAGCAGGGAGAAATTCACTACCTTGAAGTGTTTAACAAACAGCATAAGCAGTCTGTTTAAGTTATGACTTTTGGTCTACCGACTCTGAATCTGCACTACAGATGTATAGATTTCCCTGGTCTTGCTCAGGTGAAAAATATAAATTAAGTAATATTTTTAGATTACCATAAAATGTGAAAGTGTGTAAATTAAAATGTAGTATTTCTAGTATACACTAAGTAGTATTTCTGTTATAATAAAATATTTTTTCCCCCATTGTGTACATTAAGTCCTCATGCAGAAAATATTTTAGAATGTAATTTCAGAAATCATAAAATAATTGTTTCAAGTGTGGAAATAATGCTTTATATTTAAATGAAATCTAAAAGCATCTAAATTTAACATTTAGTTGCTGAACTATGACAGCATACCTTCTATAACCTCATTTACAACATTTAATTTGATTGTGTTTCTGTTGTACTCTAGTCTTATAGCATGTTGAATAATGTATAGATGAGGAAGACTGGCTAACGCATCTTCCTCAAACGTTAACCTTAACTGTAATTAAGTGTAGCCAGCGTATTGCACAGACCTATATATAGAGGTTGCCAAGAGGCAAGTGTTGTATCAATAACAGATTCCAGGAAGAGCCTCATGGTGGCACTGTTTCTTCTTAACAGAAGTGGCAGTTCCTCAAGAACTGGAGTCTGATGTGGCAGATGTATTACGCTTTTCAAAATGTGTGCTTTAAGTTCAACAAAATTAATAATTTTCAGGAGGATGTAGTTCCAACGACAGATAGTTACACTGACACGTTGACGAGCTGTAATGGCAGTATACCTACAATTTGTAGACCAGAGTTGGCCTTAAAGTCAGGTTTGCTACAAGGCAGCAGGGTGTAATTACCAAAACAAAAAGCAACAGATACTGTATGTCATCCCCCGCTAATGACCACAATGTTTTCTTACCCAGTAATCTGTAACAAAAAGCCACATAAATGACCAGATTGCACTTAAGTCCAGCACTAGAGAAAAACTTGGTGGCACAAAATTATTCCAGCCAATTGAGTGGAAATAACAGAGAATAATATAAAGTTATCTTTGGCAGGGAGATGTGTGTTTGGAATGTCACTACTGGACAGTGCATTGAGAACGCAAAGCTTCCTTATAGGCATACAGCAATCCAGGTAAGTATAGCAACTTTTCATGGAATATCTGTTCGTTACAAGAGGAATTTTGCTTTATTAACATAATATTTTTCAGAAACGTAAAATTTTAGATGCATAGCTCATAACATACTTAATAGGAGGAAAAAAAACCAACCTGTTGAAATATGAGTAGTTTTATATCTGTTCTTTTTTTTTTTTTTTTTTTTGCTTCCTTCTAAGAACAGAAGAGAGACTTATCTTCCTCTGAACTCCTTAATCAAATCAAACTGGTTATTTTTAAACCACAAATGTCTGGAATGCAGTATCAATTAAGTCACTCTAATAGGCACTGGGTGGCAAAGTGAAACTGTCTTCATCTTTAGTCTTGTCCTGTGTTAAAATTGCACGGAAACATCAAGTTTAATGTTGGCTTCTTGATGACATATTTTAGAAGTACAAGCAATCTAGCCAAACATTGTGTGACCGTCTGCTGAAGATCTTATTTTTAAACATTTGAAAGGTTTTTGATGCCTAACTGCTGACCTCCAGAAGGCTGCTCTGCCCCACTTCCAAAAAATATACTTTTATTCATTGCAGAACTCAGGACAGATCACTTATTTTCAGAGGCCAAATTGCTTTAAATATTACTTCAGATAATTTCAAGTGTCTGCTTTGAACTCTGTCCAAAGTATCTAGATGGTGGAGCGTGCAGGTGTGTTTGAAATACATATGTGTATATGACTGAGGAACCCAGCAGCTATGGATTTGATTCAGAGAGATGGATTATTTCTGGATATGTTAATAGAAGAGCAGCTCAGGGCACCGCAGTTAATTAAAATCCTGTTTTTCTTCAGTGAGGAAGTCTAGGGTGGAACTAAGCCTCTAAATGATGGAAGTCTGAGACCTCATGTGACTCAAACTATGGCCAAGTTTTGAAGCTTCCAGAAGAAACACTGTTTTTCATGACACACTTCTCGTTGACGTGATGAATTCAAACATAGTTGTTAATGATAAAGAGAAGAGAAAAAGCTTGGTTAAATTACCAAACAAAAATTATAGAAGAGTAACTTCTTAATAATGTATATGTGTGTGTATGTGTATATATATAAAAGCATAGATTATTAAGAAGTTATTCTCTCTAACTTTTCTTTTTGTATACGTTTAAAACATATGTTCTTTTTACATATGTATGCACGGACAATACAATGCCTAAGTTATAATGTAATAGAGCTGCAGTATGATCAGCTTTGTGGTATTGCTTAATTAGATTTTAATAGCTAAAGTTTTGAAGGAGTTCTGCAGAGAAAGTAGACAGATCTACATTGTGGAGATTTTTGAGGAGATCAGAGGCAGACTCTTAATTCTTATCCTTCAAGTAGGTAAAGCAAATACTTTTAGAAAATTGTTACTTCTCTATTAGGAGAAGTTAGCGAAGTCTAACTTTGGGTAGATAATGATTGTTGTATAACTTGGGCAACATGGCTAAAGAAAGGAACATCAAACAGGAAAATTTTCTTAGGAAAAAGAACAGATGTGCTAGGAAGGGAAACTATTCTTAAAATGCAACTTTTAGATACTTATAGTAAATTGCTTTGGGGTTTTTTTGGTGAGGGTTTTTTGGGGATTTTATTGGGGAGTTTATTGTGAGGTTTTTTTGTTGTAGGTTTTGTTGTTGTTGTTCCATGGTGAGTGATTGCTTGTGGTGCAATAGTACCTGAGAGAGTATGATTTCCTACAGAATGTTATTGTCTGGGAGGTTTAGTGCACACCGATTTTGATAGTATCACCATTTAAAATTGTTGCTTTCTTCTTAGTTAATATTTTAGTAGGTCTTAATTAAACTACTAACCTATCTGGTCTAGTAGGTTCCTTTTGTTCAGCACAGATGATTCAGCTATAAATGGCAGATGTCAAGCAGTGCAAACTGAATATTTGCCATTTGAAATGAAGTTTAACACCAAGGTCAACTCTCAACCATTTGTGGATCTTAGCCAGTGTGGTATTTTCTCAGAGGACTGAGTATACAAATCTTCCAGTTCAAGCCTAATTTAAGAGTAACAGTAATTACAAATTGTTCTTACTGCTAAGCATTTGCCTCTGATTATCTGTGGTAATACTTATCCTAATCCCAGTTATTTATGCTTCTTTTGTTTTCAGGCTTCAATTAATTAACCGATAGACAAAAAATTATTATTTAAGTAAAAATAAATGTACAGAGAACTTGTAGTAAAGAAGGCACAATTTTGTGGGTCTATCTGATATTTTCTTCTGACTACATGATTGTTCCCTTTACTTTAAGGATACTATTTACTTGTAAGTTCCATTTGAGGTGGCTGCTTATGCATTTATAGCAATTATGTGTACAATTACTGATAGTTATCACACAAAATGCAAATGTCCTTGCACATATAAAACACCTAGCAAAAATAAATCTTCATAGTCACTCTATGCTGTCATCGCTGTTCCTTAGTACTTTGCTATGTGTACTTTGCTAGTACTTTGCTATTTTTTCTTTTCTTTACATGATTGTTGAGAAAGAATGAATGTTCTTAATAATAGGGCATTTAGTGTCATAATGAAGAATATATCATGGGGTAGAAAGTCATTCTGGAAAACAACAGAAAATTCATTCATTATGAATATTCTGCATTTTCACCTGACTTTTTTCATCTTTATGTACCTCTTGGTAGCTGGAGCTTTACCAAATGTTTGGAGAGAGAGAGGAGGCCTCTCAGAGAAACAGGTCCCGAACTGTTTAGCAGTTTATAATGAAAATTAACACCTTGATTGCTTCCAAAAATCCTAATATTTAAGCAGGGCAGATACTGCTTTTGGTATGAAGCACCTTTTACTAAACTGTGTACCTATGTTAAGTTGTTATAAATGTATGTGAAATGCTTGTGTCACTAACAAAATTGTATGTGATCTCACATATGCAGTAGTTTATTAAAGGTCAAAGTATGACATGCTGAATGTGAAAAATACACATGCACATTTGTCTAGCTCTGTCTGCTGACTCTCTTCTTTCCACTTGTACAGTATTACCATTGCTCGTTCCGAATGACAGGTGAAGGCTGGCTTCTGTGTTGTGGAGAATATCAAGATATTCTTATTATTGATGCGAAGACTTTAGGTGTTCTTCACACTTTATCGTCATCTCAATCTTCTGATTGGATAAATTGTATGTGTATTGTACACTCTGCAAGAATTCAAGGTATATGTTGTAGATGTATTTATGTAAGCAAATTAAATAGTGATAAAATATTGCTGTATAGATAGTACAATCCTACTACATTTGATCATGTTTTACAGAGCCGTTATGTACAATATGCTAACATTTTACTGCTGACACCTAAGAAGGTATTTTTAATACTCCTAAAGTTGGTCATGTTTCACTTAATAAGCTTCTTAAAGAGGAAAAACAAGCAAACCTCTATGCTGGTTGTAAGCAGCTCATTTCTTGGCTATAAGTACAAATTAAGTTTGTACTATCAGGGGAATTAAGGGCACAAACCTACTATTCTGTGCTTTCTGTTGATATATATCTGATTGGACAAAATAAGTATTCACTGTTTGCTTGCATGTGTTGTATTTCTGTATACCAATTAGTTATTTTTGTGTAAAATTAATATTTAATCTAAACAGTGACCTGCAGAATCATTGTTTTAATGCTGTACAGAACACTAATATCTATGCCAAGGTTCTCTTTTGGTGTTAGGCACTGTTTGAACTTGCTTTCAAGTTGACTATCTCACTGTTAACTTTTCACAGAAGACTCATTGGTTGCAGTGTCTGTAACTGGAGTTCTTAAAGTGTGGGACCTATCTTCGTCTTTGAATACCATACAGGTCAGTTTGTATGAAGTGTTACACAGTGATTTGAACAATAACATAAATGTAGTAATATTCTAGAGTAAAGGGTACACTGAAGCAGAATATGAATAAAATAGAATCTTCTAGATACTTATTAGATGAAATTAATTAATTTTGTCACAAAATTCTGCAAACATGCCCTCACATTGCTATTAAAAATTAATTGGACCATTGGACAGCTCTTGCCTTGACCACTGCAATGTCTTTTGCCCAGGCGTCATGTCTTTCTGTATTCCACGGTGCTGCAGTTGTAACATTTTTATTCTGTCCTGATAGTGTCACTCGATTATTTGAACCCCTTCACTCCTTCTTTCAAACTCAAAGCTCTTCAAAATCAGCCTTTGTACTCCTTCTTCGCCATTGTTACTTTTTTCAAAATGGTCCTTTAGACTTTGTTTTCCTCTTGTTTGCCTCCCACAATGCTGTCTTCACTTGGAAAAGACTCTTGCTGTGTCAAGTGCTCTTTCTCCATCTTCAAACTAGCTTATTCTCTGCAACTTTTCTGTGTTAATATTCTCAGCAGCTGTTACTTGACATGCGCAAGTGTTAGAACTGGAATACAATGTTTTGTGTTTCAATTAAACTGAGAGCTAGATTCACAAAGGGACTTCAGTATTACAGCCAAGTACTATGAATCATCAACAGAAATGGCAAAATGTCAACAGTCTTCTCTGAACATCCATAATACATTCCTGCCTTACTCGACAAACGGCAGAGCATGCCGTAGCACTACTTGTTAATGGGTAGAATCAGACCCCTCAGGAGAGTCTGTCAAGTTTCATACCATACCGATGTTTTTGTGATGTTTTTGGTTTATCTGCAATGTTTTGGGGAGGAGGGAGGGTTGTCTTTCAATGTTCTGTTCTAGGGACTGTAACAGGACACTAGACATCAGAGAAGCATACATGGTATAGTGTCACCCTTTTACTGCCTGGGACTGCCTGTTATGAAGAGAGGAGTGCAGAGTTAGTAACAATCCAGCTACTTCATATGTTAAAGAGCAGTATTTTAATAAATATTGTTGCATTTAGTTGGAGCTGCAAGGTGTAGTGAGAGAATGGTTTGCAGTTTGATACCGTGATTCCATGACCAGCATACCCCTTCTTTGGGAGAATTTGATACTGGTGGTGTCTTTCAAAACATAAAACACTAGTTATCAGTGATTTAATCAATAATTAATAAAAATAATTCCAATATAATAATTTTGAGTATGATGGCATGAGTCTGATATTCACACAAAAAAGGTGAAAATACATATATTTTTTTAAAACAATCCATACATTCAGCAATACAGAGCTAAGAAAATTAATTACTTTTTAGAGGTGTTAAGATCAAACAAGATATGACAACACCATACGTCTCAGGCTGTCTTGGTTGTAACAAGGATGAGTGGGGAAAGCAGAATGTTCATCAACTGTTCTGAATCTGATATTGTCAGTTTATAGGTGGTTGTAGCTATTTTTTGACTGAAGAATACTGAGCAGGTATTCATTACAGCAGATGCTATCTATGGCCTGCCTTTAGTCCTTCTCCATATTTATTATCACTTCTTTAAGTGAGATCAAGGTCTGACCCATGCTGAATGTTTTCTGTTTACATGGTACTTGTGAACCCTGCTGTCTTCTGATCTCACTTTTAATTAAGAATTCTATGTTGCTTTGCATTTTGAAAGTGTATGTTAACAAAACTATTTTCAGTGGCTTGTTTCTATCCTAAAAGTAAAAGCTCAGATATTTAGGATAAGTCTTATGGCTTTTTTCCTTGGCACTGTAAAGGAGAGAGAAAGCGTATGCGAGAAAGAATCAAAATCTCTGGACTGTATAAATTGTCAAGCAGTACGGTTTTGTACTTACACGGAAAGGCTCCTTCTAGTTGTGTCCTCCACGTGCTGGCAGGTACGTTATTGACCATTATACTTTTCAATTTTGTTAATAATTCTGAAAAGCCAATGTGATTTTTTTTTTACATGCAGATACTTGGTTTTCTTTCCAGCTTAAAGAAGTAGTATTCACTAGCTGTCAGATACAATAGTGTGCTGTATCTCTTCTCTGCTTAGTTTAACTGCCTGACTGAGATTAAATCTTAATTTTTTTATTAATGATTTTCTGCTTTAGAAGTTTAACATCAAATTAGCCAGGTAAAAAGGGGATTACTTTATTAGTTTTACAGCACTGGATGCATTTATAGTCCCCTCCACAGTGCATTTCAAAAGGAGACAAAGATGCACAAAAACTGTTTAAGTATGACAGAAGTAACCACAGTTGGCAAGTCCTCAGTAACCAGGGGCCTTTGTTCCATGAGGGCAAATAGCCTGGGTTCCACTAATAGAAACCAGCAAAACTAAAGACTCCAGACTGTATCACTTGTAGCTGTAAGAAAATAAATGCGTTGTGTAGTTACTATAACTGTTATTAATTTATTTTAAATTTTAATTAAACTGAACTTTATTGTAAAAAAAATTCCGTATTTCTTTTTCCCAGTGTTACCTTATTCCTCTTAAAATAATTCTGAGCTGTTAGTGCAACATGTGTACCTGATCCAAACACCGCTGCTGGGTCGGAGTGGGGCAGGGCGTGGTGCTGTGTTGCAGCAGAGATTTCACATTCACCTGAATCAACTTTGAATAATGCAGTTGTAGAGTATCCTTGAAACTTCTCTTGGATTATTTAAAAAGGAGTATACAAAAGCATTTATAAAGACAATTAAAGAAATTCTATTTGCAGAATGGATAGCCTTTTCAAAGTCTGTGTAACGTGCATTGGTTTTTATTAATTTATATAATGTTTTTCTACAATAGGTGCACGTTTCTTGTAATATCTCCATTATGCATTTGAATACTTATATTTAACTGCTTAAAGTAGTTTTATAGATACATAAGTCATGCTGGATTCTCAGCTTTTATGTTTCCGTTAATATATAGCTTTAAAATAAAATAATATGATATTACTCTTCAATTAGAAAGGTAGCATAGGAGAGATTCACATGTGTGTTTAGAGTGGCTCCTTAACCTACTTGTACAGTAATGAAAATACAGTCTTCACTGCCATATTTATGTGCTGAAATAATTATGTAATTCTTTATAAGAAATTAATAGTAAATATTAATAATGAATGCAAGGCAAAACAAAGTAAATCTAATCCAAAATTTCCTAATATAACAGAAGACTCTAATGCTGCTTTTTTATTGTCATTTTTATTGTCAGTTTCTTTATCTTTGAGATATGTGGTTTGATTCTGACTTTGCAGTTGTTTGATAGTATGAAAACTGCTTTAGCTTTAAAGAGGTAGTCAAACCACAAAGAATCAAGCTATTGTTCTACTTATGGATCCATTGCCCCAAGCTAGCTTGAATTAAAATTAATGTGCCAATACTGTTTGTTTATATTTTGTTGTTCTGAGCTTAGGTCTATGATTATTGTGACTTCTCCTTGCTTTGTACTGAGTTCAGTAAAAGTGGTCAGTGCTTTGCTGGTGGAGAGGTACTAGCAGCTTACAGACTTATCATCTGGACAGAAGATGGCCACAGTTACATCTACCAGCTGCTAAACAGGTGGGCTCAGATGGGAAATTCACACAAAAAGTTCAGGTACAAGATGAACTTTGGGAGGTTTATTATGGAAAATCTCTGCATGTTGCAAATGATCAAAAACCGGAACAAAACCACTTTGGCACTCAAAGATTTACCCTGAGTTTGACAGCTCTCAGTCTTTGTTTGACACAGCAGGGGACACAGGAATAAGATTAGCCATGTAGAACTTGGGCAGCTGGTGCTGTGATTTCAAAAAGTCGCTTTTAATTACTTATTCGGTAACTTTTAATTGAACTTGTGAATCTTGTATGTTACTGTTCTGATTTCTAAAAAATACGAAATTCTAAAGCTTTATTTTTTTTTTTTTTTCAAATTGTGCAGCGGACTTTCTAAAAGCGTATATCCTGCAGATGGGAAGGTGCTGAAAGAAACTGTTTATCCTAATTTACTCTGCTTTACTGGTGTGAAGGAAAATAAGGTAAATTCATAAAGGTTTCTAATTTTGGCAAAAAGGGGATAGCTGTTTTTTTTAAGTTAAACGTGGTCTAAAATAGCTTAGAAGCTTTTACTTTCAAATCTGTAAAAAAAAACAACAAAAAAACCCACAACAAAACCAACAACCCCCCCCCCCAAACCCCCAGAAAACCCAGAAAAACCCCAAACAACAAAAGAGCCAACCCAGAAGCAAAACATAAACAAGTTGCTTAGTTCTTATTTTATTAAGAAATGTATGCATGGTTCAGTGTAACTACATAAATAAGTTTTCCCATGTGTATGCATCCTAAATTGAGGGGGTTTGAATTTGTGGCATTTTATTGAGAATACTGTTGTCTTGAGCCTACAGAGGCAGAATCACATGCCTAACTTTCTTGGACTGTGAGCAGCCTGACAGTACCCACAGTGCATAAAATTAGACACATGTGACTCTATTCAGAACCATGGTCTCTGCTTGAAGAAGGCTCTATGGTTAAGAAAAGAGGAAGCTAAAAACGTAGGTGATCTTTTATACTTCTGATTGAGAATTCACGTTTAGCAGAGCGTGTCACACCAATGTCAAATTTACAAGTTACTGCTTAGACAATGTAGCTCAAGTGGACTCGGCTATGTTGGAAAACCTGCATCTTAACTCACTTTTTTAGTGTTTTGTATGACCACAAAGAAATAGGTAAGGAAAAACTCCTATAAAAAGAAATTAGAGTAGAATTAGAAAGTACGGGGGGAGGGGGGGGAATCTGTGGCAGGGGCTCTTATTTGGGAAAATTGAATCAAAACAAATAGATTTGGTTCTGGTTTTGTTGCTAAATCTTATTGTTACTACTGTTTATGAAATAGTAATTGTTGGAAGATGTGGATTTAATTCCTGCTTGTAGTTGCATTAGTTTTTGGTGTGTATTTGCATGAGAACTCAAGAAGGTCTTTAAACAGTTTCTGAAGATATGAAAGGGAGACATATTTCTATTTGTACCTGACTAGAAACACTGTCAAATAGGTACCTATGTAAGGTTTTCTAGCGTTCTTTTTTGTTTTCAGTTGACAACTATAGGCTCTTAGAAAGCATTTTTGTTGCACACTCTTGTGAAGCCTGGCAGATTTAATTTTCAGTTGAAGGGCAATAGCACAAGCCATTCAGCTTTCCCCCTCAAACACTGTGATTTAAAATCAGATAGGATAACTGCTGAAGGATGCCAAAAGGTCAGATATCGTGAGGGAAAAGAAATAGCCAAAACACATGGCTTAGAAAATAAAAGGGTTATAGTGGTGGTAGGAAGTTCATATATGTCTCCCACAAAACATATGCGTTTTTTAAAATGTTCCCTACTGTTTTCTGATATTTCTGCTTTAATATTTATCTTGCTACCTGAAAAAACTTTATAGCAGATTTGTGAGACAACAAAACTGTCCACGTGTTCTGTTTTGATCTCCATTCTTAGATTATAAACTGAACCACATTACAGTACAGTTGTTTATTGTGGAATTTACTTCCAAACTTCAATGTCGTAATTAAAATATATACAACGTATGAGGATGTTATTAAAATGTCTTGAAGGAGCAAACAGAGTCAAGCTGTGTCTATACTTTCTAAGTGAAGGTGGTGAGTGGAACAAAACAGTTTGTGCTGATGAGCTTTTATCCACACAATCTACAGTACAGGGTGTGCTTTTGTTTGGGTGGTTTTTGTTTGGGGTTTTTTTTTTTGAGGGGTTTTTTTTGTGTGCTCATGCACACATCTTCCAGCTAACTTTCATGCAAAAAGAATCCTGATTTGGTGCTCCAGGACAGCTCCACAAGACAAACCTCATCATTCAGTTTACACCATGTGTGGTATAAACTCAAACAGACTAATGTGTACATACCTGGAGATTCTTATTTTTCTTGACTTCTGCAAGAGTTTTGAGCAACTAGAAGCTTCCCCTTAGACACCTCACCTGTTTTTAATAGTTTGATACTTGAGAATGAAGCTTATCTAACAGCTAAACAGGATGTTCTTGGCATGTCACCAGTAGATTATAATGTATTTTGTGTGTTACTGATGTGGTAATACAGAATTATCCGTGGTGCTATACCTACAGGCAAAGAAAATCTACAGACTTCTAGTCTTCATGGGAGAATAAAAACTTAGCGTTTGAGATAAATATACCACAATAAGTTTTAGCGTTGACTAAATGAAACGAGGTAGATGCCAGTAAGCCTGTAAGTCTGTTTATCAATATTATGCATCTCTGTAGTATCTAATTTTTCCAGATGACTGAATGATGGTGTTGTAGACTATTACCTATCTAGGTAAAAACATAATTCTTACTTTTCATTATTTTTAGTAATTTAAGCTATCATGATTGAAGCCTTAAGGAATTTGTTTTGATGTGAAGATTATCAGTGTTTCACTGGACTTTTTCCAACCTGATCATAGTGTTTATACTGCATTTTTTTTTTATACACTGGTGATAATATTGATAGACTCTAGAGACAGTAAACCTAGGGACCTCTCCCATTCCACTTTTCCATTTGGGATGCAGGCTCAGCCAAGGATACTGACAGAGCAGGGATGATCTTTGAGGAGCCTGCACCAGGCAGAGTAGACCTGGTCTGAGCAGGATTGAGTGCCAGATTGAGGGTTCAGCCATTATTTGTTTTCTATTTCTACAGCTTTTGGTGTAAAAAAAACTTTGAATTTGTAATTAATTACTACATTATTTTATCAGCTGTTTTGTATCAGAACATTGATTTACTGTTATTTTTGACAGAGTTTTCCTTTTGTCATGGGCTTCATGAATGAAAGAAAGGAGCCTTTCTATAATATTCTTTTTTCTGGTGAAGCTTCAGGAAGGATCACTTTGTGGCATGTTCCTGATGTCCCTGTGTCAACATTTGATGGTTCGCCAAAAGGTTTGCCAATTCTGTGCTCTTGATACTGTCTTTTTAATTAAATTCTCGTGAAAATGTTTTCATGCTAGAAATTAATGCTCATTCATTCATTGTGCGATGATTGCTTGTAGTTAGAAGGAGCAAGAGACTAACAAAGATGAGTGTCTAGAAATTATTTATGGAACTGAACAAATAAATGTTTCTATTTCCTTACCAACTGCCCATAAACTTTACTCTGCCAAATGTCATGAAAACTTACTTAGTTGGTCCTGCTTACGGTTGTTTTTAAGGAGGTATAAAAGAACAGATCTAGTGAGACATAATCTAGGGTTGGAGTGGCAGCTGCTGATTTTCCATTGCTAGGCTGCACAAAGGATAAGTTAGGGGAAGTGATGAAGAGATGAAAATGTGTTTTTTGATTTGTTTGGATTTTTATTTTCTTTGTCCCCCCACCCTCTAGAGATCCCAATTACAGCAACATGGACTCTTCAGGATAATTTTGATAAACACCATTCAATGTCAGAAGGCATTATTGATCATCTTTGTGTGTCTAAAGATGGAATAGAAAGTACAATTGTGTGTTCCTCTGTATACATACCCAGTCTTGATAAGCTTGTGTGTGGATGTGAAAATGGGAAGATTTTTGTAACACCGGGTTTAAAAACTGCAAGAGCAAGACTTCTAGAAAACATATCTTTGCTGAAAGGTAAGTTTTAACAATTTTGTCCAAATTCATCTCAGTCAAGCACAAAAGACTGCATACTTCTGACATGCCCTCCAGTGATCTCTGTAAAAATTCTCTGAAAAATAGGGGAGATGGTCAGGGCTTGAATAAGGAAAATGAAAGATTATGATAATCTTTTTTCCTCTGCAGCTGATTTATCAGATCACAGCTTAGTATTATTAAGATGCTTTTGCACTGTTAGGAGTCCTAGAATGGGTGTGCAGATGGAGTTACCTGGTAGTGAGATATACAGGATGTCATGATATGGGCAGTAGTCATCTTTGTAATTTTCCCTTTAAAAGATCATTCCACTGAAGAAATAAAAAGGTTACATCTCAGTAGGTGAAGCTGAGAGTGCAGACCTTTGTCCTCCCTTTTAGGGATATGTCCAAAATTCTTTGATCCCATCTAAAAGATTTTTGTATTTAGTCTTTTGAATCTTCTGACTTTTAGCAAATGTACTGTAAAATATGGAACTTTCCTTCTTAAAGAACAGAAATAATTTATGTACTATTTTGTTTCAGATAATCTACCTTATAAGGTTCTGAATGGTCACAGTAGCAGAGTCACTTGTTTACTTTATCCACATGATAAATCAGTAAGATTTGATCCAAGCTGGCTGTTATCAGGGAGCCAGGATTCTATTGTGATCTGCTGGGATGTATTTACTGGAAGCATTTTACACCAATTTAGTCTGCAATCTGGTCCAGTGAGAGAGCTGTTACGATCTCCAGAAAACTACAGAGTAAGTAAAAGCATAATAAATGATGTCTCGAAAGAAAAAAAAGTATCTCTATGAACATATATGCGTGTGTATATATGAGAGAAAAAACTATCTTGGCAATGCTTTTAAACTGCAACACTTAATTGTTCTGTTTGAAAGTTGCTTTTAATTTTTAATATGATTGTTAATCTATGTGTTAATCTGATTATCTCTTAAATTCTGAAGTTAAAAAGTGTAAGCAGGAAGGCCTAGGGGTTTAAACATAGTAAGAAAAGATTTGGACCAATAGTATTTTAGTCTAAATGTGTATACTTGATTTTGGTTCCTGATGCATCCTTGTGGTCCTTTGCATGTATATGTTTGTTTGAGATTTAGAGTATTTTTTTCTGATTTTCTTTAAGTGAATTTTGAAGTAAAAATTTAGATTATTTACTCTACTGAACACTATGACATTTTATTGAACAAATTCTATTGTATTCTACGGGGCTGGGATTTAATCTTTTTTGTCTTAAAAAGCCTGTAAAGATATATTTAATACTTATTGTTGACTCAGAGTTCACTTACATGCCAACATTAAGTAGTCCAAAAGATATTTTGCAATAGCATAAGTTCCTAATGTTTGTAAGGCTTTCTTTAGCCCTTTTTCTGGAAACTAGGTAGGATTTAATGCCTGCTTGGGTTGTGTTTTGGTTGTCTTTACAGGGCTGAATTTTTCCATCAAGTTAATTCCTTCATGTGTCACCAAAGATTACTTGCAGGAAGGGAAGGTATTGCAGAATCGGAGCCATACAGTGTGAAATTAAATTGTAACATAACCAATTTTTTGTTAAAAATATATTGCCCTTGGCTTTTGTGTCATAAGACCTGACATAATTTTATATCATGTGAACAGTAGTTTGGTTTAAGACAATTTTTTACTACGTTCTCTTCTAGGACAACTGCTACTGTCTATTTGGCTGTATAATCACTGCTTTGATAGGCTAAGTATTGTAAATAAATGTTTTGAGTTTTTTTTTTTAATTGAAAAAACAGAGGAGATTTGTATGTTTTCCTGTCGGTAGATCAGTTGTACAGCTAGCCTGTTAAAAAAAAGTTGGAGATGTAGGCTGCAATAAAACATTGCTTTATAAAATGAGTATGTTCTGGGAAAGAAATCACTAGACAACTTTTACCATGCTTGTAAAATGGTGTGGTTATGACTGTGGTTACAGTGATGAAACTGAAGTTCTTTCTGTGTTGCAGTTAAAAGATCACAGCATTGTGTGCTGTGTGTGCAGTGATCACTCAGTAGCAATTCTACACCTTCAGAAGAGAGCATGTCTCTTACATGCCAGAAAGCATCTGTTTCCTGTGAAGAAGATAAGATTTGACCCTGTTGAAAATCTACTAATTGTTGGATGTGACGACGATTCAGTTTATATTTGGGAAATTGAAACAGGTAATAATACACAGGGATTTTTTTGTTTACTTTCCTTAAGTTTTGTTTGTCTGTCATGTAGTATTATACAAACCTAATTTATACAAGTCCAAAGCAGAAATACTAACATATTTAATATATTAATTAGAGAGTTTATATAAACAAGCAAGAAAGAAAACTTTGGTTAAATGTGTGTCACTAATAAAATATGATTGTCAGATCGTGACAATCAGATGATTAGCTGACACTGCAGTGAGTTGAGTAGAATAATTCTGGAAACTATAAATAAAATGTAAGTTATGCTATTTAGGTATTAAAAAGAATGAAATATTCATTCCCTACAAATCCCATATTAGAGCATGAAGTTCTGCTTTCTTCAGCAAAATCATAATCTGAGAAACCTTCTCTCTAAATTGGAGAGACATGGTCTTGATTGGTGGACTGTTTGGTGGATAAGGAATTGGTTGGATGGTCACATCCAGAGTGTAGTGGTCAGTGGCTCAATGTTCACATGGAAACTGGTGACAAGTCATGTCCCTCAGGGGTCCATACTGAGACCACTACTCTTTAATATCTTCATCAATGACATAGTGGGATCGAAGGCACCCTTAGCAAGTTTGCAGATGACAAACTGAGCAGTGTGGTTGACATACCTGAGGTGGGATGCCGTCCTGAGGGACCTGGACAAGCTTGAGAAGTTGACTGTGTGAACATCTTGAAGTTCAACAAGGCCAGGTGCAATGTCCTGCTCTTGGGTTGGGGCAATCCCTAGTATCAATAGAGGCTAGGAGATGAAGGGATTGAGAGCAGCCCTGTGGAGAAGGACTTGGGGGTACTGGGGGATGAGAAGCTGGACATAAGCCACCAATGTGTGCTCACAGCCTAGAAAGCCAACTGTATCCTGGGCTGCACAAAAAGAAGGGTGGCCAGCAGGCTGAGGGAGGTGATTTTCCTCTCTACTCTGCTCTGGTGAGACCCCACCTGCAGTACTGTGTCCAGCTCTGGAGTCATCAGTGCAGGAAGGAGATGGACCTGTTGAAGTGGGTCCAGACGAGGCCACAAAAAATGATCAGAGGGATGGAACGCCTCTCCTATTAAGAAAGACTCGGAGAGGTGGAGCTGTTCTGCCTGGAGAGGAGAAGGCTCCAGGAAGACTTTATTGCAGCCTTTCAGCACTTAAAGGGAGCTTAGTAAGAAAGGTGGGTACAAATGTTTTAGCAGGGCCCGCAGTGATAGGATGTGGGGTAATGATTTTAAACTCAAAGAAGGTAGATTGAAGGTAGATTTAGACTAGATACGAGGAAGAAATATTTTTCAATGAGGATGGTGAAACACTGGCACAGGTTGCCCAGAGAGGTGGTAGAAGCTCCATCCCTGGAAGCATTCAAGGTCAGGTTGGATGGGGCTCTGAGCAACCTGATCTAGTTGAAGACGTCCCTGCTCACTGCAGGGGGTTTGGACTAAATGACCTTTAAAGGTCCCTTCCAACCCAAGCTATTCTATGGTTCTAACTGATAATCAGTTAATAGTTGAAGACAATTGCAAAGCTCACAACTGTTTAGTCAGGAAAACTAAGGCTGAGTGTTTCAGGTTAAATTTAAGATTCCCAGGTGATTTGAGAGTGTAATGCCGATTCACATGGGTAATAAATGTAGCTATTTGAACTTTGACAGGCAGAACCATTAGAAGCTCTAATGATGCGAGACATTAGAATACAGTGTTTCCATGTGATTCAGAGCTATGTGTCCTGAAAAGGGGGAAAGTGCATAATGAGTCTAAAACCACTGAAATGCACAGCATATTAATACTGTATGAAAACATAGCTTTACTAATGTAACACTGAGATCACAATTTACAAGCCGTTACAGCACTCTGTCTAGGCTGTCTGCTTTGGACAAAAAAGTCCCTTATTTTAAAGTACAAAATATCTGTGTTTAATGAAGGACTTGGCAAAATGAGTACAAACATAAATTAAAAGCCTGTTGTGTTAGTACACTATCAAATATCATTAAGATACTGGCATGGAAAATGCCTTCTGGTAGTTATTCTTTTCCCAGATGTACTAAATTACTCTTTAAATAAAAAGGTTTAGAATAAAATTAAACAATTATAGTTAAAGCCTCTGGTTTTACACTGGTGTGGGTTTTTTTTTTTCTATAGCTACTCAAAAACATTAAGTCCCTTATGAAATAGTCATATTTTTGCAAGTATTTTGAGATTTTAAAAATTCTTTAAAATCTTTTTGCTCAAAAACATTAATAAAAAATTAAGATAAGGTGTGACCTTAGGAGACTGTTAGTTTGCACTTAGTCTTGTACTTACTTTTCTTTGTTGTCTTCCTGAGTGACTGTATGATGTATGTTTTGCTTTAAATTTTAGCTTTAGTTACACTGCTGGCAAAAACAATATAAGGTCAAATTTTCAAAAGTAAATACTAGACTCTGAGTTAGGGTACCCTAAACTGCTTTTGTTTGCTGCTGTTTCCTGTGTAACTTAAAATTCTGCTTTCTAGTAAATATCTAAGATTCTTCTTACATGTGTGCTGCTATTTATGTAGATGCATAATATTACAGTTTTCAGTGTGTTTTCTCCAGTCAGAAGGGGGCATGGGTTCTACCCTTCTGCTCAATCCTCTTTTTGGAAGGTTTGTGGACCAGTACTGCCTTGGGATCTTTCTTCCTGTCTTGTTATTCCTCTAATACCTTCATTTTATTAGCCTCTGTCAGCACATCTGCAATATTGTAAATTGTTAATTCCCGCTCCTCTTTTATCCTCCTTGTAAAAGGAAGAATGATTCTTCTCCAATGTGTTGTTTTCTGCTCCTAAAGGTATTACTAGATCTCATTATTATTTCCCCCCTGTAATGGCAGCATGCACTTTATCTGTGCAAATAGTATTTCTGTTAACAGTAAAAGCTGTAAGCTATATCTACCCCATACTTTAGCATGAAGTAAATAAAGCATCAAAATTGAAAAATTAATTTGATTCTTATCATTGCCTAACTGCTTGTTTTGTAGCAGTTGCCAGAAAGTCACCTTTACTAGTAGTTAAGTATTAAAGGTAGAATGGAAAGATATTGTACCAGATCCTTGTTGTAACTAAGAGAAATTAGAGCAGGCATCTAAATGTTCAGTAATCATTAATGAATACATGCATTTTTATGGAGCAGTTTGTAAAGATGCTACCAGTGTCCAGCTGTTCTATCTACATCTTCATTGCTCTTTTAAAACTTATGTTGAATACAGTTGAGAAATTTAGGTGGGGGAAAATATTTATATATAATGTTTTATTTTATTTTACAGCTAAAAAGGACATTTCTCAACAACTTGTAACTGTAGGTAGGCTGTTTCCTAAGTACGTATCAATTTGAGAGAGACATCCTTGAAGGTCATTATACCTAAATGTTTGTTAGTGTTTCTTGTAGAGTTATGTTTTTAAAGGATCAATGTGCATTTGAAACTCTGCAATAAAGTTGAGCAAATAAATGTAATAAAGGACCATAGAATACTTGTTTCCGTATAAATCTGTTGTCATAGCTGTAATTTTTTACTCATTTGCATCAGTTATTTTCTGTCAGAACTTAATCACTTTGTTTAAAAAAGGAAATAGACAAAATATGAAAGGTCTAAAATGCTCATGTTCAGCCTGCAATGATTAGTTTCCATACATACTTTTACAATGCATTTGTTATGGATCCATCAGTCTGTGCTGTTACTATATTTGCAGGATACAGTTTAACAGCTCTCAAAGTGCTCCTTTGATGTGAATTAAGGTTAAAGCTCACAAGGTGACAAGTCTTAATGTGCCTGTTGACAAGACATTGGATTATAAGGGGACTCAGACCTCATAGTATGTCAATGCAATACTTAATTCCCTTAAAAAATAAAAAGGCAAAAAACCCACAAACCCAAACAAACAACAGAAAAACCTCAAACGAACCAGACAAAAAAACCCCAAAACTTTAAGCAAAAATAACTGGGACATGAGGATATGTCCAAAAATAATAAGGACATGAGAAAGAGTATAATTTAATCCATCATAGCACAAAAAGTTAATTTAAAATTTGAATTATTAACAAAGTTTATCTCTAGTGCTGTAGAGGCATCATAAAGAAATACACTAGTTCATATCAAGGTATATCTTTAGCAGGACTAAACTGGTCCTGCACACTGGTGTCTGCAGAAGGATAGTGATGTACAACAGAATTGTTATGCAGTTATGTTTTGTACTTTCACACTTTTAAAATAAATGTGACATCTTTATTTTCTTTGATTTAGATTTTTCATGGAAGGTGTGTGTTCTGGTAAAAATTGTGATATTTTAAGTATACCCCACATCTAAAAAAAATAAAAATGTGTGAGTTTCCAGTTTTTTAGTTTTTCAGCCTTTCAGTGTTCTTGTTACTTCCTGGCATGTATTCTATTAACTAGAAATAGTGCTGGCAGGTCATAGGTATTCCAGACTTCTGGGGCTAAGTAAATAATTGCTAAATAATTCACTCTGTCATTTTTAAATTTAAACTTTTGGCTGTTGATTTAAAGTAGTCATCTGTGTATGCCTGAGAAAAGGCAGTTCCATGTGTGGTGTTAGAGAAGGCCAGGTCTGCACTGCTCAGAAAGGTACCCGAAGGATTTAATGGTACTTTTGAATTAACTCCTGACTGGGAATATTTTTATGCCTACAATGTGGTGCAATGAGGTTCTTCCTTAGTTAAAAAAAAAAGCCAAACAATCATTTTTTTCCTAGATTTTTGGACAGTAAATATTGTGGAGTAAATTCAGTGCTACTACTGTGTGTGATTAGCAACATGGAAAATGACTTTGACTCTAATTTTATAGAGATGCTAGGCCAAAATGCAAATTGCTGCACTCAACAATATAAGAACTAATAGCTTCTCTCACCATACACTACCCAAGGAAGCCCAAGGAAGTTAAGGGTCTGGAGACAGAATTATATCTTGGATGCAAAGTTATTTAGTACAGCTAGATAACCTCACAATTCTTAGTAAATTGGTGAGGTTT